ATTCAGTTAGGTTCGGCACATGAAAAGTACGGCGTCTGAACCAGGCCTTATTGCAGTTGCGATAAGAACATACGCAAACAAAACAAAATAAAACGAAACAGTTTTATCTTTTCCTGCTGATTTAACCAATTGGTTCAGCTCACAATAGAAGAAAAAAATAATGGTTTGGTTTGGGTAAAATCAGTAAAGTCTCAGTAAGCAACCTTGTAAAATATGACCTTTTTTGTTTTATTTAGTCGAGCTCTTTCAACCCTTGAGCAAACACGAGAAGATGCAGTTCTGATCAAGGAATTGATTTCACAGACCAAACAGCAGCTTTCTGCAGCTACGGTCAAGTCAGATGAGCTGCTGGAGGCTCTCACTGCAAAGGCAACAGTGCTAGAGAAACTTAAAGCTAAACTGGGTATCGGAAGTGCCACTCTTAGTGCTTTTGTAGCACTTATAGACAGCGAAATTGACGAGGAGGACACTGCTTTGTTGCAGGTTACTATTTTTATTAACTTTTAACCCTCTGAGTCCCAAGAATGATCAACAGCAATTTTCTCCCAACAATATCAGCTTATCACCAAGAGGAAAGGTCATGAGAATCGATAAATCAAATTCTCTCGACTTATTCTCAAAGGAAATGTATGGAGATCAGTCGGGAGAATTCTATGTTGATATTGGGGTTGAAAGGTTTAACATTTTTTAGTTTACCATGTTTTTTCTGTGGATAGAAAATTCGAAGCGAAGTGGCTTATCTTTGGGCTAGATAGACGCACCTTTGCTCACATTTTTTTCGTGCGAAAAACGTAAGAAGCACCATATAATCTACATGCTTTAAAATTGGATATAAAAAATCACTTAATCACTTGATGGCGTATTATACAAGCCACTTATTTTTGATTGCACTCCCGTGAGCCTACTCTGAGAAACCTATGAATGGGTGGGAGACAAAGAGTAATCTTTAAAGGTTTTAAAGGTTTAACTAAACTGGAAAGTGCACTTAGCTTATTCAGCTAGTTTACAGGCACTCCAGTCAAATAAGTAGAAACAAATAATCCAAACAGAACGTACCAGGATTAAAAACCCAAACCTGGCAAGAGGCAACCAGTCGGCTATTTAGAAGCGTTCTTGAGGATTTGAAATCGGGACGACCAAGGAAAAATCCAGCAAGGGACCAGAACGAGAATCGAACCAAGGATCGCCAGATTGCGAGACGTTCGACTTGGTGACCACGCTGCCTCCTGAAGATATTCAATTCAATTCAATTCAAATCAATTCTTTATTCACACTATATAAGATATTTACATAAGTGTATGTAGGTAGGAAAATAAAGTAGCTGACAAATAATAATTAACTAAAAGACATTAAGTTCATTTGTGTACGGTGTCCAAAGTAGCAAGAGCTTTCTTGTTGGACACCATCATGTTGAAATAATTGGCAGCAGTAAAGAAAGAAATAAAATCTCAAATAATATCAGTGATAGAACATATAAGCAAGGTCAGATTTGGTTGGTTAGAAGACAGGACTTCCATTCTTTCTTAAACTTATGATATGGCAGACACTTGAGACCAGGCCTAAATCTCGCGAGTCAGAAAAAAAGAATGAAGTAATGTGCCCTAAAACTGGAAATTGAATGGTATACCCTTGCATATTACTTGTTCTTTTAAATGAAGGGGTGAAAGGCTGATTCGCTTGCTTTGTTTGAATAGGATGATGAAGCAGACGAGTTGGATGAAGAATTTGAAAAGCTAAAGAACTCGAACCTGAAAAGTCGTCGATTGAAGGTTATTGAGGAGATTAAGCTAGCTGAGGGAGCCTTGGAGGATTCCAAGAAAGCTCTTAAGAAATGTGAAGAGCAGGTTGGTTTAACCCTTGTTCAAATATCCAATGTTCAAAATTCCGTCGTCCGTATGTCCGACCTCCACAACTTTTCGTCAGAGTTCTAGTATTATATTCAAAAATGGTGTGTAACATTAATATACAGATTTAGCCAAGGCTAAAAGCGAAGGTCTGCAGTAATTCAACTTTTGTCATAAGCAAGAAGCAAACTAAATTCCACCTGCAATATGAACCTGGGCCTGCGATCAAGTGAATATTAATAACTGGTCAGCGAAGAACTTTATAAAACAAGTCACCTCAATAAGTTGTGCACCTGAGCCCGTGATACAGTCATGTGACACTGGTCAGCGGTTACTTTTTTGGCAGCTGTCAATTGACCGTAACATGGATGTCCAACTATCAATTTAAACACCGATTGTATGCTACCTGGGACTCCAAGCAAGTAAATGTGCCATTTCACACCCGCTAACATGAATGGATTGACTTATAGACGTACGTACGGACGATTTTCATTTTTGTCAGAACCAAAATTTCTCCGCTGCTTTCGCGCGCGAGAAACCTCCACTATTACGGGTGACAGGTAGGGTATCCATTCAGTTACAACCAACATGAACAGTACCATATAGTTTTTCCTTTGTTTGTTTTACACAGGTATATCATTGGATGCACAGGGTAGATCGCTCCTTGTGTGAGCGTCTTAGAGCCTTTCAGAGCCCCCCTCCAATGGCAGGCATGGTGATGGTCATGGTAATGGTACTACTAGGGAGACCAGAGTTTGCTGCCGGGATCGGAGGAGCCGGATCCAGCCACCCTCCACCCACCAGACACGAGCGCAAGGGAGACCAGAGCTCTTCCTTGGGAACAGGATCTGATGAGGCATCTCGCACCAGCTCTGCAACACATAAGAGAAGAGGTACCAGTTATGCACATCATAAGGGATCACCTCAGACTCCTCTTCTGGGTAAGACCTGGTTTACTTCTTTTACAGTAATTTCTCTAAAACTACTGTCTGATCTGGTTTGTCTAACCTGCGAACATGCTCACTGATGGATTTGTAGAAGTGGACTTGAGATTTTTTTTTTTTACCACACAACAAAAAATAATTTCCTTAAAATTATTTCAATTACAGTTATAAAGACCGGCTCAGCTGCCGACTCGCATTACTAATCGAGGCAAATTCGTGCTCTTTTCGATCAATCACGCAGTTTCCCTTAGTCCTAACCCATACCAAAACACAAGGAACTCTGTCAAACTTGAAGTCGTATGGAAATTAAACATCGTTTGTATTATGTACCCAAGTTGTTTGTAAAAAGGACTGGGGTTCTGGGTTATGTGCATTTCTGGACATGAGTGGAGACGAAGTGGAGACGTGTTTTGAAAGAACTCCTGTTCTCTAGTGCCAATGTTATTGTTTCAATTTTTGTACGTCATCGTTGACATTCTTGGTAAAGGTTCATGTATTATCATAGATCTTTGGATTTTAAGTTTTCAGTAGTCTTCCTCAAAGGACATGTGTCAAAAAAAGAGATAAATGGGTCAGTTGGTTATAGAATGTTACTCTCTTATTTAGGCGTCAATGCTGAAGGCAAAGTCGATCGCCCAACATGGAAAGCTATCCAACAAGTCATGAACGACTCACAGAAGTTCGTTTTTCAACCCTTGAGCAAACACGAGAAGATGCAGTTCTGATCAAGGAATTGATTTCACAGACCAAACAGCAGCTTTCTGCAGCTACGGTCAAGTCAGATGAGCTGCTGGAGGCTCTCACTGCAAAGGCAACAGTGCTAGAGAAACTTAAAGCTAAACTGGGTATCGGAAGTGCCACTCTTAGTGCTTTTGTAGCACTTATAGACAGCGAAATTGACGAGGAGGACACTGCTTTGTTGCAGGTTACTATTTTTATTAACTTTTAACCCTCTGAGTCCCAAGAATGATCAACAGCAATTTTCTCCCAACAATATCAGCTTATCACCAAGAGGAAAGGTCATGAGAATCGATAAATCAAATTCTCTCGACTTATTCTCAAAGGAAATGTATGGAGATCAGTCGGGAGAATTCTATGTTGATATTGGGGTTGAAAGGTTTAACATTTTTTAGTTTACCATGTTTTTTCTGTGGATAGAAAATTCGAAGCGAAGTGGCTTATCTTTGGGCTAGATAGACGCACCTTTGCTCACATTTTTTTCGTGCGAAAAACGTAAGAAGCACCATATAATCTACATGCTTTAAAATTGGATATAAAAAATCACTTAATCACTTGATGGCGTATTATACAAGCCACTTATTTTTGATTGCACTCCCGTGAGCCTACTCTGAGAAACCTATGAATGGGTGGGAGACAAAGAGTAATCTTTAAAGGTTTTAAAGGTTTAACTAAACTGGAAAGTGCACTTAGCTTATTCAGCTAGTTTACAGGCACTCCAGTCAAATAAGTAGAAACAAATAATCCAAACAGAACGTACCAGGATTAAAAACCCAAACCTGGCAAGAGGCAACCAGTCGGCTATTTAGAAGCGTTCTTGAGGATTTGAAATCGGGACGACCAAGGAAAAATCCAGCAAGGGACCAGAACGAGAATCGAACCAAGGATCGCCAGATTGCGAGACGTTCGACTTGGTGACCACGCTGCCTCCTGAAGATATTCAATTCAATTCAATTCAAATCAATTCTTTATTCACACTATATAAGATATTTACATAAGTGTATGTAGGTAGGAAAATAAAGTAGCTGACAAATAATAATTAACTAAAAGACATTAAGTTCATTTGTGTACGGTGTCCAAAGTAGCAAGAGCTTTCTTGTTGGACACCATCATGTTGAAATAATTGGCAGCAGTAAAGAAAGAAATAAAATCTCAAATAATATCAGTGATAGAACATATAAGCAAGGTCAGATTTGGTTGGTTAGAAAACAAGACTTCCATTCTTTCTTAAACTTATGATATGGCAGACACTTGAGACCAGGCCTAAATCTCGCGAGTCAGAAAAAAAGAATGAAGTAATGTGCCCTAAAACTGGAAATTGAATGGTATACCCTTGCATATTGCTTGTTCTTTTAAATGAAGGGGTGAAAGGCTGATTCGCTTGCTTTGTTTGAATAGGATGATGAAGCAGACGAGTTGGATGAAGAATTTGAAAAGCTAAAGAACTCGAACCTGAAAAGTCGTCGATTGAAGG